CACCGAGTGCAACGGTAGGTCCACTATACGGAAGTTGTTGTGAATCCATGAGAACACTATGACCACCACTCCTAACAGTAGAGCTCTGTAATCGACAATTAAATTCATTTAAATATACTTTTAATAATGGCATTTATATTCAAATAATATACAGTACAAACAATTTATATACTAAATCATATTAACTTTAGCAAATTACCTGGATAATGTAAACAACAACAGCGAGCCAGTATTGATGACCAGATCTTGGAATCGGGATACGGGATGCTTTTTGATAAGCCTGATAATTTGCTCGACCACAACCAGTAACCCGGCTACTGGGAATAGCTAATAATACGGGCAATTAATAATGAAATGAAAATAATGACATTAAATGAAAACAAATCACAAGACTTACGGCCACTTCATAATTGGGGACATCATTGGCGTCATCCTTCGTGTGCTCTAACGGCGATAATATGTAGAAAAGTGACAGCAATTGCTCCGTGAATATGACGGCCGTGTCCTTAATGCAAACACCCAGGTCTGCACCACCACTGCCCGTTATATTACTCGCCATACCTTTGAATGTATAGCTATTTGTGTGATCTCAAGATTATGTCGTATTTGTAATAATAAGTAAATCTCGACTAATGCTCAACTAAGCTATCATTAACGTTAATAAGCAGGCAGAGTTTTTAATTGATAAACTCTAGGTAAATGCGAAATACAATGACGCACGCTTAATTATCTTATAATGTAAGTTAACTATAATTACTTAAATCGATATTGATGCATATATGAACTAATAGTACCTTGGTACTATCATCTAAGTTCATGTAAGTCACTATAAAGGAAACAAACAGGTTAATTATTATTCAGATAACAATTTTCCAACTATTAACTATTATCTAAACAATTGTTTGTATAATTCTTATGCATTAATGTATAGATTTTCCACCGATTTGTTACAGGTTTATAAATATTTATTTAATAATTATTTAATTGTTTGTTGAAACAATTAACTTATAAATATCAAGGAGGAGCTATATATGATAAAAACCCTATTAGTTTATAAGTACTTACCTATAATTAACAACAGTAAAATCCCTACGAGTAAAGTCGATAATTTATATTTTTATTTATACTTGTACCTATTGTTATGTACTACACTATTTCTACTGTAAAAACAATATTTAAACTAACCAAGATATGAGTATTACCAAAGCTATGAGTTAAAACTGATAGGAAAACTGTATTAAGTATTTAAATTTTTATCTATATTAACGAATTTTAATATAACCTTATGTTTTACTAATATAGCTTGCTAATCACACAATACATTTAAACAAATCAATTACCATTAACTTAGTAATGATTCATTACATTATAAATAAAATTTTATTTTAAAAATTATTTATTAATTTTTAAGATTCAAGAATTGTATTGCTTTTTTGTTAATTTATTTACTATTTTTATTATTTTTCTAAACATGTTTAAGCAGCATCTCAAATGTACTAGTTCAGTTAACACAAATAGATTATTTTAAATTTATAATTTTTATTTAAATATTATTTATATTATTTGTTCTATCTAATCAACCAGAAATAAATAACAAAATTAAAATACCCAATATCTACATTTATAAACCTTTATTGTGTTAATTTACCAAACTTAAACTATTTAAAATAATTGTATTTAAAAAATTATAAAGTAATAAACCTCTAATGCTATCTATTTTCAAAAACAATAATTATTATTTAATTGTTTAAATTTAATTCTCATATTTCCTTGATGTTGTTTTAAATTTAATACCATTTAATTAAAATATAATTATTGACGTCCAACTTATTATTACATTAAATACTAATATATAATTTTTGCATTAAAAACATATAAAACTTAATGAAAAATTAATTGCACTATTGTCTAAATAATAATAGATATTTAAGAGTTGCTTACCAATAACAATTAATATCGAATTAATGATATCTTAGTGGAAAAATTATTCAGGATACATTACAGAAATTCATATACAGTACCCTGTATTATAAATCAAGTGACCATGTATCGTGAGATATATTTTCTCAATTATAACATTTTGCAAATTAATTTTAAAAACATCCATTAAAATATTCCCAATTTACATGTAATATTAATTTATTTACTTATATATTAATGAATCAATTAGGATAGATATTCTTTAAAAATTTAAGTTATAATTTCAAAGCCAATCATATACATGAATTACCTTTATAAAATCAGTATACATGGTTAAGTTTATTTTAGGTAATAAATACTAAACTTTTATATATTGTTATAGAGTAAAACAGTATAACTTTATGTCGAATATAACAAACTATACGTTATCGGAGGCCTACTGTCCGGCTCCGGTAGATATGAGCAAAGATTATGTGGACATCACAAATAGCATCACAAATCCTATCTCATACATACTGTACGACTACTGGATCGAGGAGTCCGACCCTCGGGTTAAGGGCTACTGGTTATTTGATGGTAACCCTGCACCATTTGTCATATTAATGCTCTCATGGCTACTGTTTGTCAAGAAGTTGGGCCCGAATTTCATGAGAGACCGGAAACCATACGAATTGCGAGAATTAATGATGATTTATAACTTCATATTAGTTGTCATTAATATATACGGCGTTTACGTGTCCTTCAAATGGCTTCACTTCGGACGCAAAGTATTTGACGTAAAACTTCCCGATAAACACATAATTACACCGGAAATTGAAAATGAAATTTCCGAGAAAATGATTATATTTTACTCGAAATTAATTGATTTATTGGATACAGTATTCTTTGTGTTGAGAAAAAAGTCAAACCAAATCTCGTTTCTTCACGTCTATCACCATTTTTTGGGTAAATATTGAGTGTCTTTCTCTTTCTCCCTTTCTTTCTTATTTTACTTTCTCTTAAATATAATTATAATTTTTGATAATTTATTATTTATGAGAAAATAATTTCAATTTCAGTGCCAGTATTGGGTTGGACGGCATTCTCGCTAAACAGTATCCAAAGTTGTATTTTCGGTGTATTCGTATCACTCAACTCGACAGTCCATGTGATTATGTATTCATATTATCTATTGTCGGCATTTGGACCCCAAATACAGCCCTATTTATGGTGGAAGCGATATATCACACGATTGCAGTTAATACAGTTCGCTATACTTATAGTCTATGCCATCATATTGTTCACAGTCATGGATCTGTCCGATTATCCCATTGCCATCAAATGGATAGTCATTGTCCAGCCATTCATCTTCTTTTATATGTTTTTCAAGTTTTACTTTAAAACATATAAACATAAAATCAAATTCATTAAAAGGATTTGAATATACAATTCGTTTGGATTTATTTTTCAAAATTAAATGTCCTTTATTTATATAATTTTGTATTAATTTTAATATTTAAATTGAATGGCAATTAGCAGTAAGTTTCGTTATTTTTCTAAATTTACCAAGGTTTATTCTAAATATGGATGTCTTAAAGTAAAATAGTTTAAGAGTTGTTTATTGTATTTAAATAAATCATTTTGTAAAAGTCATTATTTCTTAATGCCAAAATATTTTTGCCATGAAAACTTGTAAGTTATGAAAACTAAAATTATTGATAACAATAACCCGATCAAGAATTTGTCGCTATATTTTTAAATATTTACAACTATTCAAATCAGTTACTATTGAACACAACTTCAAAAAATGAGTGATAAATACAAGAGTAGTATCCAAGAGAGTGGACCTCCTATTAAGACACCGGTTGTCCTCAACATCGATGTCTTGATTGACATCTTCTCATATCTGGACACAAATGATTGAATTCGTATGGAAAGAGTGTCCAAACAGTTCCAGTTGTGTGTCAACTACTGGTGCCGTCGTCTCACACATATTGCCATCAATCCTAGTGTTGATGTCAATCACTTCTGCCCTAAATTAGCACTTAATCCCAGAAATGATGTCATTCCCAACCATATCCTTGATTGCCATTCAAACGGAACGCCATGTCTTATAGGAAGCAAAGAGAAAGTCCTTTTGATCTCAAGAAAGTTTCCAAACATTAAGTTTTTATCTCTAAGGCATTGTGAGACCAATTACAAGACATTTTATGAGATTCTAAATACTTTCCAATCGCTCACTCAATATAAGCGGTAGTTGTCATGATTTCAGTGATCAACAGATCCAGCAATTGAGTCAACCATTATCCCAAAGATTGTTAGTATTATCTCTAAATCTGTGTTACTATCACTCCGATGATCTCTATAAAATGATTGCCGAGTTGACACAATTGCAGACATTAGGTGTTTATTTGAAAGGAGATGAAAATACACGAATAGAACAAGTATTCAAAAGTTTACCAAAAACTATCAAATATGTGAAACTTTGGTTGAATCCAGACTTTGAATTCACACAAGGCTTGGCGCAAACACTTGTAGAAAACAATGGCAAACATTTGGATTATCTAAGGATTAGAATGCCTTAATGTCTGAAGAGTCTCTTGAGATTATCATAAATCACATGAATCTCAAAGCTTTTGAATTCGCGTTAACCGACGGCTCAAACGAATGGCACGCATTGCAAAGAGTGGCACAAAAGCAGACAACCCTAACATATCTGTCACTCCATTATCTTGAGTGTCGTGATTATGAATACACAACAAATATGAACACATTCTCAAATGTCAAAACTCTTGAGCTCTACTCATGTTATGTAAAAGAATCGGCGTTTGAATCGCTTCTCAAATGTTTTCCGACACTCAAGACACTGATCTTATGGCAGACATCCATCGCATTTGTTATTCAAGGGTATGAATGTGTGACATGTTATCGACAGACACTGCATATTATCTCCAAATTGACTGCAATCCTCGGATTGGTTGTCCCTTCAAAAGACATTTCAAAAAAGACAAACATTTTGTGCCAAACTCTCAATGACTTCTCAAATCTAGTGGCCTTTCATATCGAGAATTTTGGTTCAAGAATAACTTCCGATAAACAAGATTCAGATATTTGCCGTCAATTGATCACTCATTTCTGTGAATATTATGAGACAAATCCCAGGAAAATGTTCACAATTTGGGTGTTGAGTGGCATAAAAGTGCAAGAATTGTGTGCCGGACTACAAGTGCCACGAAATATACGAATCAAAAGTTATTAGAGAAACTTTATAAAAGAAAATGTTAGTCTTAATAAAGTCAGTCTATTAGTAATAGATTATTAATGTCATTTATATCACATACCGAATATAATATACTATTCACATATTATTTGTTGCTATTTAATTTTAAAGCAGTTTTATATCTATTGATTTTAATAAAAGTGTGACACTTATAAGTGTGACAAACTATTTATAATAATAAACAAATAGTGAGGTTATCTTTTTTATTGATAGATAATTGAAAGTTAATTCATTTATGAATTGAGTATTGAATGCAATTTATTTGACCTTAAAATCGGCGCTTACTTTGTGTTTGTGTTAAGCATTGGCTCTGAAATACATGTGTTTATCATGTGATCCACGGTTTGCTCTTTAATTGCATTGTATTTGTGTTTTTGTCCACAGATTTCATTGAAATTAAAGCTAATATTTTGTATAATTATTGGGTTTATATTGGTTTGTAAGTCAATGCATATAATCGACAATTTATTGTCAAATAATGTTTTTGTGACAACAGTTTGTTAAGTGTTTGTTGCAGTGATTGTGGGATTGAATTGATTTGTGTTTCAATTGTAAACCAATTGTCGGTATAATGAAGAGAAAGGGAAAGGGATTTAGTATTCAATCAATTGATTGTCATTTAAATAGTCATCAAAAGTGTGGCAAAAGTGAAGAAATGGTCGACAAGTCGTTGAAGAGAAGGGTTTTGTTGTTGTGTTGTTGTGACAGAAGTTTGCAAACAATTGAACACTAATTGCGAGCAAAATGTGAATAATTTGGGGAAAAGTGTTGCGAAAGAGATGTCTATTAATAGGAATGCATTGCAAATGAATGGCAAACAAGGAGTGAGTGATAAATGTGTGCAAAGTATGGACACAACCAGTGATTCAATGCATAAATGCAGTGATAATGCGCTCATTAATAGTGACTATAATTGCAATCATAATGACAACAATTATCTCATAAGTGATTCACCACTACATCGACTCATCCCTTACACAACATTTAAGGCAAAAGAGAGACAATTAGTGGCAGAAAATAAACTGAAAGTAATTAAAGGGAAGTTCAGTCCACAAGAGTTGCAAATCTTAAGACATAATTTCGATGTGTTTTGCCGTCAATTCAATTGCGATGAAGACATGAAAACCCGTTTATTAGGGTTTTTCGCATTCAGTCATAAATACACGAAAAGCGAGCGAAAAATGTTCAGAGATTTCGTGAAAACTTTTACCTGCGATTGGCCTCTGGTTTGCCAAACCGTACGATACAACAGGTGTGGTATACGTCGCGCATACACTTCAATACATTGAAAGTTATCAAGGATTTGACACCCGATGAGAGACATAGCATTAAGACATTGTACGCCACGTATGGCAACAAATGGGTTAAAATTGCTGAGAAACTGAATTGTTTACCAAATACTGTTCAATATTATACCCAATTATGACAACAGTGGACAGCCGTATGATAAGGGGAAGTGGAGTGCCGATGAAAATATGCGAGTAATAGATGCCATGAAATGTGTGTTCAATACGGATGACTTGACTCAACATATATTCACTAAACGTATTAAATATAGAGAAGTCAGAGATTTGGCGGATATTAATAGAAGTGATTTCGATCTCCAGAAGCACTGGAAATGCACTCTTCGGTGGAAAATCGCAAACTTTGATGAGATGTGCGACAAGTGGACCCTTTGGACATCAAAACTGATTTACTGTTTATTTAAATACAATTTCGACGACGAGTTGGCCATCGATTGGGATCTCATAAAAGAAAAGTTTGAGAAAATCTCGTCGTTTAATAATTTGATGAAAAACTGGAGACTCATTAAGTCTACCGTTCCCTCCGTTCACGAGAAACCCTATAAACTGATCATTGCTTTCCTTTTCGACCACNACTGATCATTGCTTTCCTTTTCGACCACTTTTTGCCACAATTTCTCAAAACCGATGAAGACTTACGAGAATTGGAGGACTTCTACCAAAACTAATCACTAATTAAACACTTATTCTTTGCATTCATTTACTAATAATTCAATTAATTATTAGTTTTTCTGTTATTTTATAGATTTATGTAAAATCCAAATTGAGATTATTATTTGACTGTTGAATGCAAATACAATCAATACTTAACTTTCAATTGAAATTCAATTATTCTTTAAGCCTTTTATTAAATTCATAAATAAATATTGAGTAAAATCTGTGAACTAAACCTTTGATAACAATAAACTAATCACGAATTAATTGTAAGTTTTAAATAATTTATTTCAAAACAAATAATTAATCAAAATATTAAAATCAGTTATAGTTTGACAACAAAACAGATAATGAGTGCCAAAGACAAGAGTAGTATCCAAGAGAGTGGACCTCCTATTATGACACCGATTGTCCTCAACATCGATGTCTTGATTGACATCTTCTCACATCTGGAGCCAAGAGATTGGATTCGTATGGAAAGAGTGTCCAAACAGTTCCAGTTGTGTGTCAACTACTGGTGCCGTCGACTCACACATATGTCCATCAATTGAATCTTTAGGATCGATCACTACTATCCGAAGTGGACAGTCACTCCCAGAAGTTATGTGTATCCCAACCGTATCCCTACGTATCAAAAGCCTATCGCAAGCAAAGAGAGAGTGCTTTAGATGTCACAGAAGTTCTCAAACATACAGCACTTGTCTTTCGGATACTTTGAGACCAATTACAAGATATTCAATGAGACTGTCAATGCTTTCCAATCGCTGACTGAACTGCACATAAGTGGTAGATATGAAGTCATTGATGAACCGATCGCACAATTGGCACAACTGTTGAAAAACATAAGAAAACTGACGTTAAGCTACTGTTTTGACTTGAGTCACCTCTTGGAAGTGATGCCTGAGTTGACACAATTGGAGGCATTGATGATCGATATGATTGAGTTTCACAACATATCCAGAGTTATCAATGTATTGCCAAAAAGTATCAAATATTTGAAACTTTTTTGTACTTCAAACGAGGATTTCAGTCGAGAATTGGCACAAAGACTGGTCGACAGTAATGGCAAACATTTGGATTACCTATCGATACATAGGGCACTCATAAATCAAGAATCACTTGAGATAATCACTGACCAAATGAATCTCAAAGGCTTTGAATACGAGTTAAGCCACGACTCTATCGATTGGCGCGGATTGCAAA